GGCTCCGTCTGCAGCTACGACTTCGACTGGGACACCCGCAGGGGAACCGTGGTGTGCCGGCAGCTCGGCTGTGGCACGGCAGCCACGGCGTCCCCGTACGCTCCGTTCGGGCAGGGCACCGGCCGCATCTGGCTCCATGTTTTCTGCAACGGCTATGAGGCAACGCTCCAGGATTGTCCCAGTTTCGGATGGGGCGAGCACTTCTGCGGCCACGAGCGCGATGTGGGGGTGACCTGCACAGGTGAGGAGGGGGATGCCGGTGGTGCCGGGACACCGGCCGTGTGCCGCGGCGCTGGCTATGGCTGAGGCTGGGCCGGTGCCGTGGTGCAGACGCGTTGGAGCTGAGGCTGGCGGGCGGCAGCGGTCCCTGCGATGGGAAGGTGGAGGTGAAGCTGCGGGGACGCTGGGGCTCGGTGGCAGATGACTCGTGGGACATGATGGATGCGGAGGTGGTTTGCCAGCAGCTGGGCTGCGGCTCGGCCACCAGCGCCTACATGAAAGGCAGCAGCTACAGCAGCGGTGACCCCCCTGTCAACATGGCACTGGTGAACTGCCGCGGGCACGAGAAAGCGCTTTGGGAGTGCGAGGTGAGGGGCTGGGGGCCCTATGACGGCTTCCACGACTATGACACTGCCGTCGTCTGCCAAGGTAGGAGCCGGTAGCTGGTGCTGGCAGAGCACAGAGCCCCAGGTCTGGGTTGAAGGGAGCTTAAAGCTCCTCCAGCCCCAACCCCAACCCCTTCCACTGGAGCAGCTTGCTCCAAGCCCCTGTGTCCAACCTGGCCTTGAGCACTGCCAGGGATGGGGCAGCCACAGCTTCTCTGGGCACCCTGTGCCAGCGCCTCAGCACCCTCACAGGGAAGAGCTTCTGCTTTATCTCCAACCTGGATCCCCCCTGTTTCAATCTGAACCCATCACCCCTTGTCCTATCGCTGCACTCCCTGATGAGGGTCCCTTCCAAGCATCTCTCTAGCCCCTTCAGACACTGGAAGCTGCTCTGAGCTCTCCATGCAGCCCCAATGTTCTCAGCCTGGCTCCATACAGGAGCTGCTCCAGTCCCTGAGCATCCTCGTGGCCTCCTCTACCCTTGCCCCAACATCTCTAAGGCCCTCTAATACTGAGGACCCTTCTCCCGTTCCCGCAGCAGAGGGGCAGGATCCCCTCCCGGAGCTGCTGCTCACGCTCTGGGGGTGCAGCCCAGCACACGGAGCCGGGGGGGTTCTGGTCTCAAGCGCTCCCTGAAGCCGGGTCGTGGGGAGCTGCTCCTCAGGCAGCAGCCCAAGTCCTTCCCGTCAGGGCTGCTCCGATCCCTGCGCACCGCCGCGGGGCCTCTCCCCGCAGGCTTCTCCCGGCTGGTTGGTGGCGATGGCCCCTGCGCGGGGCGGCTGGAGGTGCGGCAGGGCCGAGCGTGGGCCGGGCTCTGTGAGGAGGCTGTGGGGGCAGCTGGAGGGTTCCCAGGTCGTGTGCCGGAGCTGGGCTGCGGCTCGGTGCTGGCTGTGCCCGGGGCCGGCCTGTTCCCGGCGGCATCGGAGCCGCAATGGGACGCAGGATTCGAGTGCAGCGGCAGCGAGCTCCTCCTGAGCGCCTGCAGGCAGCGGGCACGGAGCGCCCAGGCCTGCAGCGGCCACGCCAGCATCGTCTGCTCGTGTAAGCAGCGGGGCCAGCGGGGGGTGCTGGGGGTCCCCCTGCGCCCTTGTCACCCCCCAACCCCCGTTGTGCCCCAGCCTACAGCGGCTTCCGGCTGGCGAACCACAGCTCGCGCTGCGCCGGGCGGGTGGAGGTGATGGCAGGGGGGACGTGGGGGTCCCTCTGCGCCAGCGCCTGGGACCTGCCCGATGCCCATGTCCTCTGCCACCACCTGGGCTGCGGCCCTGCCAGCGCCGTGCTCCCGGGAGGCTCCTTCGGCAGCGGGAACGGGACCCTGCGCGTGGATGCCTTTGGCTGCAGCGGCAGCGAGCAGCACCCAGGCCAGTGCCCCGTGGCGGTGCTGGGGGAGCCAAGCTGCCCCCCCGGGCACGCTGCTGCGGTCGAGTGCTCAGGTGCGTGCGGGACCCGGGGGGGAAGAGCCTCGTGGGGCTGTGGGGACCCCCCAAGCACTGGGAATGGAGGATGCGGGGTCCTTTGGGGTGAAGGGGGGGGGCTGAGCTGGGGCCCAGCATCGTCCCGGGACCTTGTGCTGCCACCCCATAGCACCGCCGGTGCTTTAGCACAGAATCCCAGCCTGGTTTGGGTTGAAGGGAGCTTAAAGCCCATCCGGTTCCAAGCAGTGCCACGGGCAGGGACCCCTTCCACTGGAGCAGCTTGCTCCCAGCCCCCGTGTCCAAGCTGGCCTCGAGCACTGCCAGGGATGGGGCAGCCCCAGCTTCTCGGGTGGATCCTGCAGGCGCTGCCGAGCCCCTGCGGCTGCTGGAGGGGCAGAGCCGGTGCGAGGGGCGGCTGGAGGTCCCCACGAGCCCGGGCAGCTGGGCCGCTGTGTCCGCGGGGCTCCGGGCCCCCCAGGCGGCCACCGTGGCGTGCCGGGAGCTGGGCTGCGGCGAGCTGGAGCGGGTGTACCCCGTGGCGGGCCCCGGCGGCGTGGGGCTGCAGGAGGTGCAGTGCGCGGGCAGCGAGGACGCCCTGGCGCAGTGCAACGTCTCGGGCAGGGCCAGTGCTGGGAGCGGCGCTGGCGAGGCTCTGGCTCTTGTGTGCTCCGGTGAGTGAGGGAGTGAGGGAGTGAGTGCCCCGCTATGGGCCGGGCGGTGGGGGCCCCGCAGGCAGCAGCCCCTGGTGCATCCCGTCCGTGCCCCGCAGGCAGCCGGCGGCTGAGGCTGGCGGGGGGCCCGGCGCTGTGCCGGGCGTGCGGAAGCTCCACGTTGAGGCCGTTGGAGCCCCGTGCGCCAGGACGCGTGGACATCCCGGACGCCGCCGTCGTGTGCCGGCAGCTGGGCTGCGGGGCAGCGCCACGCGCCCGGCTCCTGCTCGCTCGGCCCGGGCGGCCCCGCCGTGGGCGGGCGCCCGGCGCCGCGCCGGCAGCGAGGCGTCCCTTTGGGATTGCCCGGCCCCAGCGCAGCGCGGCTGCCGGCTCGGCGGCGGGGCCGGCGCCGTGTGCTCAGGTCAGTGGCGGCCACGGCCACGGGCACGGGCACGGGCAGGGCGGGGGCGCGCAGCCGGAGCCGTGCGGTGACCCCCGCCTTGCCCCCCGCGGCTAGGGCAGCTCTCCGTGCGGCTGGCGGGCGGCAGCGGCCGCTGCAGCGGGCACTTGGAGCTCCTCTACAACGGGACGTGGGGCCGCGTGTGCGCCGACGGCACCAGCCCGGCCACGGCCGCCGCCGCCTGCAGGCAGCTGGGCTGCGGGGACGGGGGCAGCCTCGGGGCCGGCGCTGCCCCGCTCCCGGCCCCCGCCTGGCTCGCCTGGGTGCGCTGCGAGGACGGGGCCCGCTCGCTGTGGCGCTGCCCCTCGGCTCCCTGGCGCCTGCAGCCGTGCGGGCCCGGCGGGGACGCGCATGTGGTGTGCGCTGAGGACGGCGCCGAGGGGATGCTCAGCCCGTCCCCAGGGAGCCCCACGCTCACAGGTAGCTCTGATGCTGAGGCCTGCGCCGGGCCGGCCGCGCTCCACGGCCTCGCTTCACCTTGCTCCTCCCATGGCCCCGCAGGTGTCCCCAGGGCCAGCACCCCGCGGCCAGCCACGGGGCCGGTGCCGGTGCCCACGGTGCTGTGCGCGGTGCTGGGGGTGCTGCTGTGCCTGGCGCTCGCTGCCCTGGCTCTGCAGATGTACCGGGCCTGGGCTGGGCCACGAGGTGGGTGCTGCGGCGCAGAGCTGCTTTGGGGGTCCCGGGGCTCAGAGGGGGTCATTGGTGACCCCGCTGCTCCTGCTGAGCGCTGCTGCTGTTATTCCAGAGCCTGGCAGAGCCCTGGATGCTGTCTATGAGGAGCTGGACTACACCGGGATGCCGGAGTACCAGAAGGTGCCCAGTCGCCCAGGTTGGTGCACGTGTGCCCGTACTGGGGTAGCTCTGCCCCGCGGCCCCACCACAGCCCTGGCTCCTGGCGGTGTGGCTGCGGCTCATCCCGTGGCGTGTGGGTGTCCCCTGTCCCACTGTGCCCTCTCCCCACCAGGCTCCCCAACAGAGGGCTCAGAGACGAAGCTGCCCTATTACACTGCAGAGGATGTGGAGGAGAGTGACCCCGGCACAGCCCCAGGTAGGGACATGGGGACAGGATCCCGGCAGGGACGCCCCCTTAGGACAGGGGAGTTAATGAGACACGGGGTCCCCTGGCCTGGATGAGCCCAGCTCAGCTGTGGCTCTGGATGAGCAGCCCCAGCGCCCCCCGGGCACCCCTGGTTCTGTGTATGGAGGGGGGGTGACACAGCCAGAGCCCTGCCACGGCCTCCGGGTCACCCCCATCCCCTCCCCATCGCTGCCCCAGGCCCCCCTGCCCTGCCTGAGGACGGACCCCCCGATGGCTACGATGACGCCGAGGCTCTGCCAGAGGAGTCCCTTGGCACTGGGGACACCCCCGAGGGGGTGGCACATGCAGGTGAGTGTCCCTGTGCCCTGCAGAGCCACCTCGGGGGGGGCTTGGCTGCGGTGGCTGGGGGGGAGCAGCAGCAAATCCATGGGGCTGCAGCAAGATCCAGATGGGGTTTAGCGGCCCCCACTAAGGCACCAGCCTCTGCTGCCCCCAAGGTGGGAGCCGTCCCCCCCCAGGGGGCACAGGGGACCCCCCGGAGCAGCCCCCAGGGGACACAGGCTACGATGATGCTGACGTTGGCACCTTGGGGACATTGCTGTGAGGATGCTGCGGCCGCAGCACACGAGGCCACGGGGACACAAGTGCGGGTGCTGGGGCTCTGTCCCCAAGGACGGGTGGCCCCGGCCATGGAGGTCACCTCTCCGTGCCCAGGACCACAGCACAGCAGCTCCGGTGTCCCTCTTGCAGCAGCGCTGCAGGGATCTGGGTTTAGTTTCACCGTGAATTCCCATGGTTTTCCCTATTAAAACTCCCAAGCTGGCTGGAGACTCACTTCCAGGCTGGCACCTTGCTCCCGGGGACATCAACCATCCCTTGGGGATGTGCGGCAGGAGCTGGACCTACAGATGGGTCCCTGGGTGTGAGTGGGGCAGGGAGAAGGGCGGAGGAAGAAAAGGGAATAAGGGCCCCAGCGCCTTTATTTGGCATCCAGCAACACCAACACGCGTGTTCCCAGCAATAGATGGGGTCTATCGAGATCTCTATGGATCTGCTCCCCACAGCTGGGAAACGGGAGAGGGAAGGACGTGGAGCGGTTCTGCCCCGATCCCAGCGGATGCAGATGCAAGGGCCCAGGCAGCAGCTCCTCCCTGCGCCCCCATGCTTGGGGCAGGTTCCATGCCCCTCCTGTCCCTCCCTGAGCCCTCGGCACTCGCACAGGGGTGCAAGGGCACAGCCAGCCCCTTACCCCAGGGCCCGCAGCGGGCAGGAGGGGCTCCGGAGCTGGCGGCACCCGCGTCCCGCAGCCCCTCGCTGAAGGACAAATCCAGCTCCTCCAGGCAGGGGCTGGTGCTCAGCACAGCGGCCAGGTCCTTGCAGCAGGCGCTGCTGAGGCGGGAATAGCGCAGACTGCAGGGAAAGAGCCTCAGTGCCACCCCACCGTGGTCCTAACCCGGAGCCAGTGCCCTGAGAGAGCGGGACACAGGGATGAGGCCAGCCCAGGCGGATCCTTTGGGTACCATTGCAGTGCTCCCATCCGCCCCAGGGCTTTGGCTGCCTGGGAAATGCCCAGGGATGCTGTGGGGTGCCAGGAGGGTGCTCAGGGATGTGCAGGGTTGCTGGGGAATGCTATGGGAGGTCTGTGGGTGTCCAAAGGGATGCTCAGGGATGCCAGGGGGATGCTGGGGATGCACGGGGGGATGCCATGGGGATGCTCTGGATGCTCGAGAATGCCAGATGGTACCGGGGGAATGCCCAGGGATGCCCGGGGGTGCTGGGGGGATGCTATGGGATGCCCTTGGGTACCAGGGGGATATTCAGGGACCTGTAGTTGCCATGGGGATGCTCAGGGATGCCTGTGGGTGCCATGGGGATACTCAGGTGTCCCCGTGGTTGCCATGGGGATGCTCTGGGGTGCCCGTGGGTGCTATAGGGATGCTCACGGATGACCGGGGTTGCTATGGGGATTCCCAGTGGTGCCCAGGGATACGAGGGGGATGCTCAGGGATGCCTGCGGGTGCCATGGGGATGCTTAGTGGCTCCCGGGGTTGCCATGGGGATGCTCAGGGATGCTGCCATGGGGATGCTCAGTGGCTCCCGGGGTTGCCATGGGGATGCTCAGGGATGCCTGTGGGTGCCATGGGGATGCCCAGGGATGCTGGGGGATGCTCAGGGACACGCCGCGTGCCGGGGCTCTCACCGCAGTGCACGCAGGCAGCAGCCGGGCTGCCGCAGCCCCTGGCACAGCAGGCGCACGCCGCGGTCCCCCAGCGCGGTGTCCCCCAGCTCCAGGCGCTCCAGGCTGCGGTGCTGGGCCAGCAGCAGCTCTCGGGCAGCCGGCACCACTGCAGCCTGCGGGACAGCCCAGACAGAACCCCCCCACCGCCACCGGCCAATGGGCATGGGGGGAACCACGCCAACCCGCCCCACCAGCCAATCAGCATCGAGGGGCCATGCCCACCCACCAGATAGCCAATCAACCTCAAAGGAACACACCAACCCACCACCTGGCCAATCAGCATGGAGGGAACACTCTCACTCTAAGCACAGCCAATCAGCATGGAGTGTCCCCACCTTCCCACACCCCCCTTCCCAGGCAATCAGCCTCAAGGCACCTCACGACCAATCAGCATGGAGAGCACACATTCACCCTTAGCACAGCCAATCATCATGAGGGACCTCACCCACCCATTGCAGGGCCAATCACCATGGGGCGATCCCACCCTCTCACTCCCCAGCCAATCACCATGGAGGGACCCCACCCTCTCACCCCACAGCCAATCAGCATGGAGGGACCACCCCTCCCATGGCCAATGAAAGCCTGGCCTCACCCTATAGCTCCCTCTTATCCACCCTAGAGCAGCACCCATGTGCTCCCCTCCAGCACCCACCCACCCCAGCTCAGCCTCTTACCGGAGCACCCGCAGGTCACTACCAGGGTGCCGCAGCGCCCGGCAGAGCACATCCATGGGGGAATGCAGCTCCTGGGGCTGCTGCTGAGCCATGGGACCGGGCTGTGCTCCGGCATCCGAGGGACCAGAGCTGCAGGGCACAGAGCCACGGGTGGCTTTCACCAGGAGCGCCTGGATTTGGCACCGGCACAGCAGAGCTTGGCACCAGCTCTTGGGAGGGACCCCCGTGGCTTTGGAGGCACAAAGGAGCACGAGCAGAGCTTGGGGTGCGCTTAAAGTTTCCTCATCGGGGCTCTGCTCTTTGCATGCAAGCAGGGGGATGTGAAGCCAGATGAGCCCCTGGGCACAGATGGGTTTGTTAAGGCCAAGATGCTCCATCTCCATTCCTGGAGGCATTCCAGGCCAGGCTGGATGTGGTTCTGGACAACCTGATCTAGATGAAGATGTCCCTGCTCGTGGCAGGGGTTGGACTGGATGAGCTTTGAAGGTCCCTTCCAACCCAAACTCATCTATGAATCCACGAAAGGACAAGTTTTGGTGGGAGGAGCTAAACCCCAGCAAAGGACAAGGTGTTTGAGGGCAAGGAGCTCAAGTGCCTTTAGAAGCATCCTTTGGGGTGGGAAAGGAGGAATCTCTGGGATTTTGGGTCTCTGGAGCAGTACTTACCGGGGCACTGATGCTGCCGCCTTGGACTTGGGGTCCTGTTGGTGGAAGGAGCATCCCCGGAGGGTGACAGAGCCCAGCCCAGGCCAGTGCCTGATGCAGAAGGCAAGAGCCATTTGGTCGTACAGGGTCAGCTTCGTGTCCTGCAGCTCCACGTCAGTGAAGCCCCCATGCCCTTCGTGCGAAGCTCTCATCGTTCATCTCAAACAAGAAGTGGAACGTGTCCAACCGGGCCAGCTTCACCCCTTGGCCAGGCTGGGAGGTGCCTCCGTGCCTCCCCTGCAGCCACCTCAGCAGCTCCTCCTTGGCTCGTGCTGAGGTTCTGCACCCGATGGTGTTGTCCATGTACTCTCTGCATCCTTGGCTCACCAAACCGCACAGGAACCTCACTGTGACCTTCAGCTCCTCCCTGGACTCGCTGTAGCTTTCTAGCAACACCTTTACATCCTTTGAGATATCCCTTGAGTCACCAACCACCTCCACGTTGTCCTCCAGCACATAGAGCATGGCTGCAAAGAACTCCTGGAGGTGCAGGTGGGTGAAGCCTTGGTCCTCATGGGGGATTTTAACTACCCCGATATTTGCTGGCAGGCTCACACAGCCAATCATTCACAGTCTAGGAGGTTCCTCCAGTGCATTGATGATAACTTCTTCATGCAAATGGTGGACAAACCAACAAGGAGAGGAACGCTGCTGGATCCAGTACTCACCAACAAGGAGGGTCTGGTTGAAGTGGTGATGGTCAATGGCAGCCTTGGCTGCAGTGACCATGAGATGGTGGAGTTTAGGATCCTGTGTGGGAGGAATAGAATACCTAGCAAGGCCACAGTTCTGGATTTCCAAAGGGCCAACATTGGCCTCTTCAATCAGTTGCTAAGGGAAGTTTCATGGGAAAGGGTATTAGGTGGTAAAGGGGCTCAAGATTGTTGGTCAGCATTTAAGGACCACTTCTTCTAGCTCAGGATCAGAGTGTCCCAATGGGTAGGAAATCAAGTAAGGGAGCCAGGAGACCAGCATGGTTAAACAAGGAATTGCTGGGCAAACTCATGGTCTCCCCACGGGCCCAAGATTCCTGTAGCCCCAGCAGGAGCCAGGACAAAGGAGGAGTTTGCTTTGGTAGATGAGGATTGGGTTAGGGATCAGTTAAGCAGTCTGGACATCTATAAATCGATGGGTCTGGATGGAATACACCCATGGGTGCTGAGGGAGCTGGCGGAGGTCATTGCTCAGCCACTCTCCATCACCTTTGGTAAGTCGTGGGAAAGAGGAGAGGTGCCTGAGGATTGGAGGGTGGCAAGTGTCACACCAGTCTGTAAGAAGGGCAAGAAGGAGGAGCCGGGTAATTATAGACCGGTCAGCCTTAGCTCCATCCCTGGAAAGGTGATGGAACAACTTATTCTTGACACCATGTCTAGACATACCAAGGATGAGGGGGTCATTAAGAGCAGCCAACATGGTTTTACCAGGGGAAGTCATGTTTGACCAACATTATAGCCTTCTATGAGGGAGTAACTAGGTGGATGGATGATGGTAGAGCGGTAGATGTGGTTTTTCTTGATTTCAGTAAGGCATTTGATACTGTCTCCCACAGCATCCTCATAGATAAGCTAAGGAAGTGTGGGCTTGATGATCAGGCAGTGAGGTGGATCAAGAGCTGGTTGAAGGGAAGAAGGCAGAGTTGTGGTCAATGGGCAGAATCTAGCTGGAGGTCTGTGACCAGTGGAGCACCTCAGGGGTCGGTGCTGGGACCAGGGCTGTTTAATATTTTCCTCAGCGCCCTGGATGAGGGAACTGAGTGTACCCTCAGCAGGTTCGCTGATGACACTGAACTGGGAGGAGTGGCTGACACAGCAGAAGGCTGTGCTGCCATTCAGCGAGACCTGGACAGGCTGGAGAGTTGGAGGGGGAGAAACTTGATGCAATTCAACAAGGGCAAGTGTAGAGTCTGGCATCTGGGGAAGAACAACCCCATGTACCAGTACAGGCTGGGGGTTGACCTGCTGGACAGTAGTGAAGGGGAAAGGGACCTGGGGGTGCTGGTGGACAGGAGGATGACCATGAGCCAGGAATGTGCCCTTGTGGCCAAGAAGGCCAATGGCATCCTAGGGTGCATTAGAAAGAGGGTGGTTAGTAGGGCAAGAGAGGTTCTCCTCCCCCTCTACTCTGCCTTGGTGAGGCTGCATCTGGAATACTGTGTCCAGTTCTGGGCCCCTCAGTTCAAGAAGGACAGGGAATTGCTTGAAAGAATCCAGCGAGCCACAAAGATGATGAAGGGAGTGGAACATCTCCCTTATGAGGAGAGGCTGAGGGAGCTGGGTCTCTTTAGCTTGGGGGAGACTGAGGGGTGAGCACATCAATGGTTACAAATATGTAAAGGGTGAGTGTCAGGATGATGGAGCTAGGTTTTTTTCAGTGATGTCCAGTGACAGGACAAGGGGCAATGGGTGTGAACTGGAGCATAGGAGGTTCCATGTGAACATCAGGAGAATCTTTTTTACTGTGAGAGTGACAGAGACTGGAACAGGTTGCCCAGGGGGGTTGTGGAGTCCCCTACATTGGGGATATACAAGGTCCTCCTGGACAAGTTCCTGTGGGATGTACTCTAGGTTACCCTGCTCTTGCAGGGGGGTTGGACCAGATGATCTTCTGAGGTCCCTTCCAACCCTTGGGATTCTGTGATTCTCTGTTCCCATGGTGCACTCCTTTCCTTGGGATCTTCTCATTGAGGAAGAGGGGGAGAAGGTCTGGCTGCCCTGGGGTCAGAGCTCAGCTCCGATTCAGGCTGGACCAAGCAGGGGGGCGTGGTCAGCAACTGAATGGGCGGGACCAGCCGCGGCGTTGGCGCGCCCTCTTTCCGCGCTCCCTTCGCGGAGCTAACGGAGCCGTTCCGCATCGAACCCGTTTGTGCCGTTGGGAGCGGCCCTGCACGGGCTGCGTGTGCGGGGCGCTCCCGGTGTTGTGCCCCCGTGGGGAGCCACGGGCGGGCAGCAGGGTCAGGCAGGGTCCTGCCATGGGGGACGTGCCGGGGGCCGCCAGCGCTGGGGCAGCCCCGTGCGCTCCCCACGGTGATAACGGGGACGTCTGAAGGCAGCCGGTTCCTGGCTCGCGGTGGGCACAGCCCCTGGGCCACAGGCACCGCTGCAAGGGGCCTCTCGGCCCCCCGTGTTTCCTATGTGCCCTGGCTCACCCCTGTTCCAGCACGTCGGTGCCTTTGCCATCAGCAGCTCTTCAAGGGGAAGCTGCCTCCGCAGCCTCTCCATTCATTTCCCCTGTGGCCGCCGGCGCTGCTCAGCGCTGATGGAGTCCGCCAGGTGAAGCCCGGCTCAAGCGAGCCCTGGAGCTCGCTCCTGCTCCTTGCACCTCCTGCCCCCGTCGGGTGTTGCTGCTGCTCCCGGCTTGGCCCGGTGGGTCCCCAGCGGCTGCGGATGGGCTCCGTGCCCCTCTGGGCGGCATCAGCGCAGGCAGGTGCCGCTGCGGCGTTATCGGGAGCCCCGCAGGTGGCTGGGGAGCTGCGTGTGGTCGATGCCGACAGCGGGTCCCTGCTTGCAGGGGGGAAACCGCCTCCTTCCTGCCTGCCACAGCTGCCGGCACCGCCATGGGCCACCTGCAGGCACCGCGGTGAGGCGGGGGGGGCTGCTGCCACCTCAGGGCCCCCCCACTCCGGGTCTGCAGGCACCCTATGGAGGGGAGCACCCCAAGGATGGGTGCTGCTGTGCCCGGGCTCCTTGGGCTTTGCTCCGTGCTGGTGCTAAGAGCGGCCCTGCGGGGTTTGGGTAGGTTTTGGGGTGAATCCTGTTGCCATTGAGCTCTTGGCAGGCGCCGCAGCAGGGTCAGTGCCATGGGGGGATGCAGGATGGGTCCGTGCGCCCTGTTGCAGCACCGGGTGCTAAGGGGGGAGGTGTTATTGGTTCACACTGGGGGCATCCGGGCTCTGACCCCTCCTGGCAAGGTGTGTGACGCCAGAAGCGGAGCTGAGCCTCATATTTGGGCACGGAGCAGGTTATTGGAGCCCGAGGCCTCCCCACATGGGAGATAACCCAACTGATAACGGGCTCAGAAGGTGCTGCTGCCTCCATTGGCTGCGGCGCTGCCTATAAATCACCCAGCCCGACCCAGGAGGCAGAGGGGGGTCCTGGTGTGTGAGATGGTGCCTGTGAGGGTGCTGGGGGCTCTCCTGTGGGTGCAGCTCAGCGTGGGGCAGCCGCGGAGCACCGCAGAGCCCCAGGCTGAGCTGAGCACGGTGCAGGGCCCCGATGAGCTGCGGCTGGTGGGTGGTGGTGGGCGCTGCGCCGGGAGGGTGGAGGTGAAGCATGAAGGTGAATGGGGCTCCGTCTGCAGCTACGACTTCGACTCGGACGCCCACTGGGCCACCGTGGTGTGCCGGCAGCTCGGCTGTGGCACGGCGGCCACGGCGTCCCCGTACGCTCCGTTCGGGCAGGGCACCGGCCGCATCTGGCTCCACGTCTTCTTCTGCAATGGCAACGAGGCAACGCTGCAGGATTGTCCCCATTTTGAATGGGGCCAGCACTTCTGCAGCCACGAGCGCGATGTGGGGGTGACCTGCACAGGTGAGGTGGGGGATGCCGGTGGTGCCGGGACACCGGCCGCGTGATGTGGCACTGGCTATGGCTGAGGCTGGGCCGGTGCCGTGGTGCAGACGCACTGGAGCTGAGGCTGGCGGGCGGCAGCGGTCCCTGCGATGGGAAGGTGGAGGTGAAGCTGCGGGGACGCTGGGGCCCGGTGGCAGACCCCATCTGGGACATGATGGATGCGGAGGTGGTTTGCCAGCAGCTGGGCTGCGGCTCGGCCACCAGGGCCTACACCAAAGGCAGAAGCTACAGCAGCGGTGACCCCCCTGTCAACATGGCACTGGTGAACTGCCGTGGGTACGAGAAAGCGCTTTGGGAGTGCGAGGTGAGGGGCTGGGGGCCCTATGAAGGCTTCTACGTCTTCGACGCCGGTGTGGTCTGCCAAGGTAGGAGCCGGGAGCTGGTGCTGGCAGAGCACAGAGCCCCAGGACTGGGTTGAAGGGAGCTTAAATCCCATCCAGCTCCAAGCCCTGCCACGGGCAGGGACCCCTTCCACTGGAGCAGCTTGCTCCAAGCCCCTGTGTGCAACCTGGCCTTGAGCACTGCCAGGGATGGGGCAGCCACAGCTTCTCTGGGCACCCTGTGCCAGCGCCTCAGCACCCTCACAGGGAAGAGCTTCTGCTTTATCTCCAGTTTGAATCCATCACCCCTTGTCCTATCACTGCACTCCCTAATGAAGAGTCCCTCCCCAGCATCCTTGTAGCCCCCTTCAGACACTGGAAGCTGCTCTGAGCTCTCCATGCAGCCCCAGTGTTCCCAGCCTGGCTCCATGCAGGAGCTGCTCCAGCCCCTGAGCATCCTCGTGGCCTCTCCTCCACCCTTGCCCCAACGTCTCCATGGCCTTCTTATGCTGAGGACCCCAGCTCTGCACCCAGCGCTGCAGGGGGGGTCTCCCGTTCCCGCAGCAGAGGGGCAGGATCCCCTCCCGGAGCTGCTGCTCACGCTCTGGGGGTGCAGCCCAGCACACGGAGCCGGGGGGGTTCTGGTCTCAAGCGCTCCCTGAAGCCGGGTCGTGGGGAGCTGCTCCTCAGGCAGCAGCCCAAGTCCTTCCCGTCAGGGCTGCTCCGATCCCTGAGCACCGCCGCGGGGCCTCTCCCCGCAGGCTTCTCCCGGCTGGTTGGTGGCGATGGCCCCTGCGCGGGGCGGCTGGAGGTGCGGGCCTGCCCCGAAGCGTGGGGGCCGGGCTCTGTGAGGATGCTGGTGGAGCTGAAGGCTGCCCAGGTTGTGTGCCGGGAGCTGGGCTGCGGCTCGGTGCTGGGCGCGCGGGGCCGGCCTACTCCCGGCGGCATCGGAGCCCGCAATGGGACGCAGGATTCGAGTGCAGCGGCAGCGAGCTCCTCCTGAGCGCCTGCAGGCAGCGGGCACGGAGCGCCCAGGCCTGCAGCGGCCACGCCAGCATCGTCTGCTCGTGTAAGCAGCGGGGCCAGCGAGGGGTGCTGGGGGTCCCCCTGCGCCATTGTCACCCCCCAACCCCCTTTGTGCCCCAGCCTACAGCGGCTTCCGGCTGGCGAACCACAGCTCGCGCTGCGCCGGGCGGGTGGAGGTGATGGCAGGGGGGACGTGGGGGTCCCTCTGCGCCAGCGCCTGGGACCTGCCCGATGCCCATGTCCTCTGCCACCACCTGGGCTGCGGCCCTGCCAGCGCCGTGCTCCCGGGAGGCTCCTTCGGCAGCGGGAACGGGACCCTGCGCGTGGATGCCTTTGGCTGCAGCGGCAGCGAGCAGCACCCAGGCCAGTGCCCCGTGGCGGTGCTGGGGGAGCCAAGCTGCCCCCCCGGGCACGCTGCTGCGGTCGAGTGCTCAGGTGCGTGCGGGACCCGGGGGGGAAGAGCCTCGTGGGGCTGTGGGGACCCCCCAAGCACTGGGAACGGAGGATGCGGGGTCCTTTGGGGTGAAGGGGGGGCTGAGCTGGGGCCCAGCATCGTCCCGGGACCTTGTGCTGCCACCCCATGGCACCGCCGGTGCTTTAGCACAGAATCCCAGCCTGGTTTGGGTTGAAGGGAGCTTAAAGCCCATCCGGTTCCAAGCAATGCCACAGGCAGGGACCCCTTCCACTGGAGCAGCTTGCTCCCAGCCCCCGTGTCCAAGCTGGCCTCGAGCACTGCCAGGGATGGGGCAGCCCCAGCTTCTCGGGTGGATCCTGCAGGCGCTGCCGAGCCCCTGCGGCTGCTGGAGGGGCAGAGCCGGTGCGAGGGGCGGCTGGAGGTCCCCACGAGCCCGGGCAGCTGGGCCGCTGTGTCCGCGGGGCTCCGGGCCCCCCAGGCGGCCACCGTGGCGTGCCGGGAGCTGGGCTGCGGCGAGCTGGAGCGGGTGTACCCCGTGGCGGGCCCCGGCGGCGTGGGGCTGCAGGAGGTGCAGTGCGCGGGCAGCGAGGACGCCCTGGCGCAGTGCAACGTCTCGGGCAGGGCCAGTGCTGGGAGCGGCGCTGGCGAGGCTCTGGCTCTTGTGTGCTCCGGTGAGTGAGGGAGTGAGGGAGTGAGTGCCCCGCTATGGGCCGGGCGGTGGGGGCCCCGCAGGCAGCAGCCCCGGTGCATCCCGTCCGTGCCCCGCAGGCAGCCGGCGGCTGAGGCTGGCGGGGGGCCCTGGGCGCTGTGCCGGGCGTGTGGAGCTCTACGTTGAGGGCGCTTGGAGCCCCGTGTGCCAGGACGCGTGGGACATCCCGGACGCCGCCGTCGTGTGCCGGCAGAGCAGGGGGGGGTCATTGGTGACCCCGCTGCTCCTGCTGAGCGCTGCTGCTGTTATTCCAGAGCCTGGCAGAGCCCTGGATGCTGTCTATGAGGAGCTGGACTACACCGGGATGCCGGAGTACCAGAAGGTGCCCAGTCGCCCAGGTTGGTGCATGTGTGCCCGTACTGGGGTAGCTCTGCCCCACGGCCCCACCACAGCCCTGGCTCCTGGCGGTGTGGCTGCGGCTCATCCCGTGGCGTGTGGGTGTCCCCTGTCCCACTGTGCCCTCTCCCCACCAGGCTCCCCAACAGAGGGCTCAGAGACGAAGCTGCCCTATTACACTGCAGAGGATGTGGAGGAGAGTGACCCCGGCGCAGCCCCAGGTAGGGACATGGGGACAGGATCCCGGTGAGAACCCCCCTTAGGACTGGGGAGTGAAGGGGGCACGGGGTCCCCTGGCCTGGATGAGCCCAGCTCAGCTGTGGCTCTGGATGAGCAGCCCCAGCACCTCCCGTACACCCCTGGTTCTGTGGATGGAGGGGGGGTGACACAGCCAGAGCCCTGCCACGGCCTCCGGGTCACCCCGATCCCCTCCCCACCTCTGCCCCAGGCCCCCCTGCCCTGCCTGAGGACGGACCCCCTGATGGCTACGATGATGCCGAGGCTGTGCCAGAGGAGTCCCTTGGCACTGGGGACACCCCCGAGGGGGTGGCACATGCAGGTGAGTGTCCCTGTGCCCTGCAGAGCCACCTCGGGGGGGGCTTGGTTGTGGTGGCTGGGGGGGAGCAGCAGCAAATCCATGGGGCTGCAGCAAGACCCAGATGGGGTTTAGCGGCCCCCACTAAGGCACCAGCCTCTGCTGCCCCCAAGGTGGGAGCCGTCACCCCCCAGGGAGCACAGGGGACCCCCCGGAGCAGCCCCCAGGGGACACAGGCTACGATGATGCTGACGTTGGCACCTTGGGGACATTGCTGTGAGGATGCTGCGGCCGCAGCACACGAGGCCACGGGGACACAAGTGCGGGTGCTGGGGCTCTGTCCCCAAGGACGGGTGGCCCTGGCCATGGAGGTCACCTCTCCGTGCCCAGGACCACAGCACAGCAGCTCCGGTGTCCCTCTTGCAGCAGCGCTGCAGGGATCTGGGTTTAGTTTCACCGTGAATTCCCATGGTTTTCCCTATTAAAACTCCCAAGCTGGCTGGAGACTCACTTCCAGGCTGGCACCTTGCTCCCGGGGACATCAACCATCCCTTGGGGATGTGCGGCAGGAGCTGGACCTACAGAGGGGTCCCTGGGTGTGACTGGGGCAGGGAGAAGGGCGGAGGAAGAAAAGGGAATAAGGGCCCCAGCTCCTTTATTTGGCATCCAGCAACACCAACACGCGTGTTCCCAGCAATAGATGGGGTCTATAGAGATCTCTATGGATCTGCTCCCCACAGCTGGGAAACGGGAGAGGGAAGGACGTGGAGCGGTTCTGCCCCGATCCCAGCGGATGCAGGATGCAGGCTGCAGGCAGCAGCTCCTCCCCTGCGCCCCCATGCTTGGGGCAGGCTCAGAGCCAGAGCGGGTTCCCCCCAGGTCCCCGAGCCCTGCGCTGGGAACGGCTGCGGTTGCTGCAAGGGCTCTCCTAGAGGAGCGCTCCTGTGCGGAGCGAGGGGGGCCCCCTCCTGCCCGGCAGGGCCCCGCGCTGGAAGCGGAGCCGGGCCATGGCCCCCGTCTGCGGCGCCTCCTGCTCCAGGAGGTCCCCGACCTTGAGGCCGGGCTTCAGCGCCCGCAGGGCAGCCAGGGCCTGCAGCGCGTCCTGGGGCAGCCCGGCTGTGCTCAGCCTGGAACAGAGGGAGGAGAGAGCTGTGGGATCACCCCCGGCTTGAGCTGGGGGGGCTCAGGGAGACCTGAGAGCAGCTCCAGTGCCCAAAGGGGCTGCAGGGAACGTGGAGAGGGGCTTGGGACAAGGGCCTGGAGGGGACAGGGCAAGGGGAATGGCTTGAACCTGCCCGAGGGGAGACTGAGCTGAGCTCTTAGGCAGAAGCTCTTCCCTGTGAGGGTGCTGAGGCGCTGGCACAGGGTCCCAGAGAAGCTGTGGCTGCCCCATCCCTGGCAGTGCTCAAGGCCAGGTTAGACACAGGGGCTTGGGCCCGCTTGCTCCAGTGGAAGGGGTTGGGCTTGGAGCTAGGAGGAGCTTTCAGGTCCCTTCAATCCAAACCCTTCCTTGCGTGGTTCCATGCCCCTCCTGTCCCTCCCTGAGCCCTCGGCACTCGCACAGGGGTGCAAGGGCACAGCCAGCCCCTTACCCCAGGGCCCGCAGCGGGCAGGACTGCGGAGCTGGCGGCAGAGCTGCAGGACCCCGTGCTCCCAGCTCGTTGTGGCTGAGGTCCAGGCAGGTGAGGGGAGGCGTCCCCGCAGGCAGCGCTCGGCAGACGGCGCCCGTCAGGCGGCAGCTCCCCAGCCTGCGGGATGCGGGAACAGGGATGTGCAGCGGGGCCCCCGCGGAGCCGCTGCGCCTGGGACCGGGCCGCCTCTTACCGCAGCGTCCGCAGGCGGCAGGACAGGGGCCCCAGCCCCTGGCACAGCAGCTCCGCACCCGCGTCCCGCAGCCCCTCGCTGAAGGACAAATCCAGCTCCTCCAGGCAGGGGCTGGTGCTCAGCACAGCGGCCAGGTCCTTGCAGCAGGCGCTGCTGAGGCGGGAATAGCGCAGACTGCAGGGAAAGAGCCTCAGTGCCACCCCACCGTCGTACTAACCCGGAGCCAGTGCCCTGAGAGAGCGGGACACAGGGATGAGGCCAGCCCAGGGGGCTCCTTTGGGTACCATGCAGTGCTCCCATCCGCCCCAGGGCTTTGGCTGCCTGGGAAATGCCCAGGGATGCTGTGGGGTGCCAGGAGGGTGCTCAGGGATGCCGGGGGGATGCTCAGGGATGTGCAGGGTTGCTGGGGAATGCTATGGGATGTCTGTGGGTGCCAAAGGACAACTGCAGGGGATGCGGGGGATGCTGGGGATGCGGAGGGGGATGCCAGGGGGATGCTCTGGATGCTCGAGAATGCCAGAGGGTACCTGGGGGATGCTCAGGGATGTTGGGGAAATGCTCAGGGATGTCCGGGGGTGCTGGGGGGATGCTCTGGGATGCCCATGGGTGCTATAGGGATGCTCAGGGATGACCGGGGTTCCTATGGGGATTCCCAGTGGTGCCCAGGGGTACGAGGGGGATGCTCAGGGATGCCTGTGGTTGCCATGGGGATGCTCAGTGGCTCCCGGGGTTGCTATGGGGATGCTCAGGGATGCTTGTGGGTGCCATGGGGATGCCCAGGGATGCTGGGGGATGCTCAGGGACACGCCGCGTGCCGGGGCTCTCACCGCAGTGCACGCAGGCAGCAGCCGGGCTGCCGCAGCCCCTGGCACAGCAGGCGCACGCCGCGGTCCCCCAGCGCGGTGTCCCCCAGCTCCAGGCGCTCCAGGCTGCGGTGCTGGGCCAGCAGCAGCTCTCGGGCAGCCGCAGCACCACTGCAGCCTGCGGGACAGCCCAGACAGAACCCCTCCACCGCCACCGGCCAATGGGCATGGGGGGAACCACGCCAACCCGCCCCACCAGCCAATCAGCATCGAGGGGCCATGCCCACCCACCACATGGCCAATCAGCTTCAAAGGAACACACCAACCCACCACCTGGCCAATCAGCATGGAGGGAACACTCTCACTCTAAGCACAGCCAATCAGCATGGAGAGTCCCCACCTTCCCACACCCCCCTTCCCAGGCAATCAGCCTCAAGGCTCCTCACGACCAATCAGCATGGAGAGCACACATTCACCCTTAGCACAGCCAATCATCACGAGGGTCTTCACCCACCCATTGCAGGGCCAATCACCATGGGGCGATCCCACCCTCTCACTCCCCAGCCAATCACCATGGAGGGACCCCACCCTCTCACCCCACAGCCAATCAGCATGGACGGACCACCCCTCCCATGGCCAATAAAACCTTGGCCTCACCCTATAGCTGCCTTTTATCCACCCTAGAGCAGCACCCATGTGCTCCCCTCCAGCACCCACCCACCCCAGCCCAGCCTCTTACCGGAGCACCCGCAGGTCACTACCAGCGTGCCGCAGCGCCCGGCAGAGCACATCCATGGGGGAATGCAGCTCCTGGGGCTGCTGAGCCATGGGACCAGGCGCTGTGCTTCCCGGCATCCGAGGGACCAGAGCTGCAGGGCACAGAGCCACAAGGGTGGCTTTCACCAGGAGCGCCTGGATTTGGCACCGGCACAGCAGAGCTTGGCACCAGCTCTTGGGAGGGGGCCCCCGTGGCTTTGGAGGCACAAAGGAGCACGAGCAGAGCTTGGGGTGCACTTAAAGTTTTCTCATCGGGGCTCTGCTCTTTGCATGCAAGCAGGGGATGTGAAGCCGGGAGGGACCAGGGATGGAGCCCCTGGGAGGGTAGATGGGTTTGTTAAGGCCAAGATGCTCCATCTCCATTCCTGGAGGCATTCCAGGCCAGGCTGGATGTGGTTCTGGACAACCTGATCTAGATGAAGATGTCCCTGCTCGTGGCAGGGGTAGGAGCTGGATGAGCTTTGAAGGTCCCTTCCAACCCAAACTCATCTATGAATCCACGAAAGGACAAGTTTTGGTGGGAGGAGCTAAACCCCAGCAAAGGACAAGGTGTTTGAGGGAAAGGAGCTCAAGAGCTTTTAGAATCGTCCTTTGGGGTGGGAAAGGAGGAATCTCTGGGATTTTGGGTCTCTGGAGCAGTACTTAGCGGGGCACTGATGCTGCCGCCTTGGACTTGGGGTCCTGTTGGTGGAAGGAGCATCCACGGAGGGTGACAGAGCCCAGCCCAGGCCGGTGCCTGATGCAGAAGGCAAGAGCCATTTGGTCGTACAGGGTCAGCTTCGTGTCCTGCAGCTCCACGTCATTGAAGCCCCCATGCCCTTCGTGCGAAGCTCTCATCGTTCATCTCAAACAAGAAGTGGAACGTGTCCAACCGGGCCAGCTTCACCCCTTGGCCAGGCCGGGAGGTGCCTCCGTGCCTCCCCTGCAGCCACCTCAGCAGCTCCTCCTTGGCTCGTGCTGAGGTTCTGCACCCGATGGTGTTGCAGGATCCTTGCTCTTCTGCATCCTTGGCTCACCAAACCGCACAGGAATCTCACTGTGACCTTCAGCTCCTCCCTGGACTCGCTGTAGCTTTCTAGCAACACCTTTACATCCTTTGAGATATCCCTTGAGTCACCAACCACCTCCACGTTGTCCTCCAGCACATAGAGCATGGCTGCAAAGAACTCCTGGAGGTGCAGGTGGGTGAAGCCTTGGTCCTCATGGGGGATTTTAACTACTCCAATATTTGCTGGAAGACTTACACAGCCAATCATTCACATTCTAGGAGGTTCCTCCAGTGCACTGATGGTAACTTCTTAATGCAAATGGTGGACAAACCAACTAGGAGAGAAGTGCTACTGGGTCTAGTACTCACCAACAAGGAGGGTCTGGTTTAAGTGGTGATGGTCAGTGGCAGCCTTGGCTGCAGTGACCATGAGATGGTGGAGTTTAGGATCCTGTGTGGGAGGAATAGAATAGCAAGCGAGGCCACAGTTCTGCATTTCCAAAGGGCCAACTTTGGCCTCTTCAGTCTATTGCTAAGGGAAGTTTCATGGGAAAGGGTATTAGGTGGTAAAGGGGCTCAAGATAGTTGGTCAGCATTTAAAGACCACTTCTTCCAAGCTCAGGATCAGAGTGTCTCCCAATGGGTAGGAAATCAAGTAAGGGAGCTCAGGAGACCAGCATAGTTAAACAAGGAATTGCTGGGCAAACTCATGTGGAAAAAGAGAATCTATGGATTATCGAAGGAGGCGCTGACCACTTGGGAGGAATATAGGACAGTTGTTAGAGGATGTAGAGAGGCAATTAGGACAGCTAAGGCCTCCTTGGAACTTAATCTTGCAAGTCGGGTTAAGGACAATAGAAAGGGCTTTTTCAAATACATACAGATAAAACTAACACAAGAGGCAGTATAGGCCCACTGTTGAACGAGGTGGGTGCCCTGGAGACAGAGGATTTAAAGAAGGCAGAGGTGATGAAGCCTTCTTTGCCTCTGTCTTTACTCTTGCAGACTCTCCCCGGGGGCCAAGATTCCTGTAGCCCCAGAAGGAGTCAGGACAAAGGAGGAATTTGCTTTGGTAGACGAGGATTGGGTTAGGGATCAGCTATGCAGTCTGGATATCTATAAATCGATGGGTCTGGATGGAATACACCTACGGGTGCTGAGGGAGCTGGCGGAGGTCATTGCTCGGCCACTCTCCATCACCTTTGGTAAGTTGTGGGAAACAGGAGAGGTGCCTGAGGGTTGGAGGGTGGCAAGTGTCACGCCAGTCTATAAGAAGGGCAAGAAGGAGGACCCGGGTAATTAGACCGGTCAGCCTTACCTCCATCCCTGGAAAGGTGAGGGAACAACTTACTCTTGACACCATCTCTAGCATATCAAGGATGAGGGGGTCATTAAGAGCATCCAACATGGTTTTACCAGGGAAGTCATGTTTGACCAACCTTATAGCCTTCTATGAGGAAGTAACTAGGTCGATGGATGATGGTAGAGCGGTAGATGTGGTTTTTCTTGATTTCAGTAGGGCATTTGATACTGTCTCCCACACCATCCCCATAGATAAGTTAAGGAAGTATGGGCTTGATGATCAGGTAGTGAGGTGGATCAAGAGCTGGTTGAAGGGAAGAAGGCAGAGAATTGTGGTCAGTGGGGCAGAATCTAGCTGGAGGTCTGTGACTAGGGGAGTACCTCAGGGGTCAGTGCTGGGACCAGTGCTGTTTAATATTTTCATCAACGACCTGGATGAGGGAACTGAGTGTATCCTCAGCAAGTTCGCTGATGACACTAAACTGGGAGGAGTGGCTGACACACCAGAAGGCTGTGCTGCCATTCAGCGAGACCTGGATAGGCTGGAGAGTGGGGGGGAGAATTTTGATGAAATTCAACAAGGGCAAGTGTAGAGTCTTGCATCTGGGGAAGAACAACCCCATGTACCAGCACAGGTTGGGGACTGACCTGCTGGAAAGTAGCGAAGGGGAAAGGGACCTGGGGGTCCTGTTAGATAGGAGGATGAGCATGAGCCAGCAATGTGCCCTTGTGGCCAAGAAGGCCAATGGCATCCTAGGGTGTATTAGAAAGGGTGTGGTTAGTAGGGCAAGAGAGGTTCTCCTCCCAGAGCCACAAAGATGATGAAGGGAGTGGAACATCTCCCTTATGAGGAGAGGCTGAGGGAGCTGGGGCTCTTTAGCTTGGGGGAGACTGAGGGGTGAGCACATCAATGGTAACAAATATGTAAAGGGTGAGTGTCAGGATGATGGAGCTAGGTTTTTTTCAGTGATGTCCAGTGACAGGACAAGGGGCAATGGGTGTGAACTGGAGCATAGGAGGTTCCATGTGAACATCAGGAGAATCTTCTTTACTGTGAGAGTGACAGAGACTGGAACAGGTTGCCCAGGGGGGTTGTGGAGTCCCCTACATTGGGGATATTCAAGGTCCTCCTGGACAAGTTCCTGTGGGATGTACTCTAGGTTACCCTGCTCTTGCAGGGGGGTTGGACCAGATGATCTTCTGAGGTCCCTTCCAACCCTTGGGATTCTGTGATTCTCTGTTCCCATGGTGCACTCCTTTCCTTGGGATCTTCTCATTGAGGAAGAGGGGGAGAAGGTCTGGCTGCCCTGGGGTCAGAGCTCAGCTCCGATTCAGGCTGGACCAAGGAGGGGGGCGTGTCCAGTCCCTGAATGGGCGGGGCCAGGCGCGGCGTTGGCGCGCCCTCTTCCCGCGCTCCCGTCGCGGAGCTAACGGAGCCGTTCCGCATCGAACCCGTTTGTGCCGTTGGGAGCGGCCCTGCACGGGCTGCGTGTGCGGGGCGCTCCCGGTGTTGTGCCCCCGTGGGGAGCCACGGGCGGGCAGCAGGGTCAGGCAGGGTCCTGCCATGGGGGACGTGCCGGGGGCCGCCAGCGCTGGGGCAGCCCCGTGCGCTCCCCACGGTGATAACGGGGACGTCTGAAGGCAGCCGGTTCCTGGCTCGCGGTGGGCACAGCCCCTGGGCCACAGGCACCGCTGCAAGGGGCCTCTCGGCCCCCCGTGTTTCCTATGTGCCCTGGCTCACCCCTGTTCCAGCACGTCGGTGCCTTTGCCATCAGCAGCTCTTCAAGGGGAAGCTGCCTCCGCAGCCTCTCCATTCATTTCCCCTGTGGCCGCCGGCGCTGCTCAGCGCTGATGGAGTCCGCCAGGTGAAGCCCGGCTCAAGCGAGCCCTGGAGCTCGCTCCTGCTCCTTGCACCTCCTGCCCCCGTCGGGTGTTGCTGCTGCTCCCGGCTTGGCCCGGTGGGTCCCCAGCGGCTGCGGATGGGCTCCGTGCCCCTCTGGGCGGCATCAGCGCAGGCAGGTGCCGCTGCGGCGTTATCGGGAGCCCCGCAGGTGGCTGGGGAGCTGCGTGTGGTCGATGCCGACAGCGGGTCCCTGCTTGCAGGGGGGAAACCGCCTCCTTCCTGCCTGCCACAGCTGCCGGCACCGCCATGGGCCACCTGCAGGCACCGCGGTGAGGCGGGGGGGGGCTGCTGCCACCTCAGGGCCCCCCCACTCCGGGTCTGCAGGCACCCTATGGAGGGGAGCACCCCAAGGATGGGTGCTGCTGTGCCCGGGCTCCTTGGGCTTTGCTCCGTGCTGGTGCTAAGAGCGGCCCTGTGGGGGTTTGGGTAGGTTTTGGGGTGAATCCTGTTGCCATTGGGCTCTTGGCAGGCGCCGCAGCAGGGTCAGTGCCATGGGGGGATGCCGGATGGGTCCGTGCGCCCTGTTGCAGCACCAAGGGGGGCTGTTATTGGCTCAGACTGGGGACATCCGGGCTCAGACCCCCCCTGGCAAGGTGTGTGACGCCAGAAGCGGAGCTGAGCCTCATATTTGGGCACGGAGCAGGTTATTGGAGCCCGAGGCCTCCCCACATGGGAGATAACCCAACTGATAACGGGCTCAGAAGGTGCTGCTGCCTCCATTGGCTGCGGCGCTGCCTATAAATCACCCAGCCCGACCCAGGAGGCAGAGGGGGGGGTCCTGGTGTGCGAGATGGTGCCTGTGAGGGTGCTGGGGGCTCTCCTGTGGGTGCAGCTCAGCGTGGGGCAGCCGCGGAGCACCGCAGAGCCCCAGGCTGAGCTGAGCACGGCGCAGGGCCCCGATGAGCTGCGGCTGGTGGGTGGTGGTGGGCGCTGCGCCGGGAGGGTGGAGGTGAAGCATGAAGGTGAATGGGGCTCCGTCTGCAGCTACGACTTCGACTGGGACACCCGCAGGGGCACCGTGGTGTGCCGGCAGCTCGGCTGTGGCACGGCGGCCACGGCGTCCCCGTACGCTCCGTTCGGGCAGGGCACCGGCCGCATCTGGCTCCACGTTCTCTGCAACGGCAACGAGGCAACGCTGCAGGATTGTCTCAGTTTCGGATGGGGCCAGCACTTCTGCAGCCACGAGCGCGATGTGGGGGTGACCTGCACAGGTGAGGCGGGGGATGCCGGTGGTGCCGGGACACCGGCCGTGTGCCGCGGTGTTGGCTATGGCTGAGGCTGGGCCGGTGCTGCGGTGTAGATGCAGTGGAGCTGAGGCTGGCGGGCGGCAGCGGTCCCTGCGATGGGAAGGTGGAGCTGAAGCTGCGGGGACGCTGGGGCTCGGTGGCGGACGACACGTGGGACATGATGGATGCGGAGGTGGTTTGCCAGCAGCTGGGCTGCGGCTCGGCCACCAGGGCCTACATCAAAGGCAGAAGCTACAGCAGCGGTGACCCCCCTGTCAACATGGCACTGGTGAACTGCCGTGGGTACGAGAAAGCGCTTTGGGAGTGCGAGGTGAGGGGCTGGGGGCCCTATGAAGGCTTCTACGTCTTCGACACCGGTGTCGTCTGCCAAGGTAGGAGCCGGGAGCTGGTGCTGGCAGAGCACAGAGCCCCAGGACTGGGTTGAAGGGAGCTTAAATCCCATCCAGCTCCAAGCCCTGCCACGGGCAGGGACCCCTTCCACTGGAGCAGCTTGCTCCAAGCCCCTGTGTGCAACCTGGCCTTGAGCACTGCCAGGGATGGGGCAGCCACAGCTTCTCTGGGCACCCTGTGCCAGCGCCTCAGCACCCTCACAGGGAAGAGCTTCTGCTTTATCTCCAGTTTGAACCCATCACCCCTTTTCCTATTGCTGCAGTCCCTGATGAATAGTCCCTCTCCAGCATCCTTGTAGCCCCCTTCAGACACTGGAAGCTGCTCTGAGCTCTCCATGCAGCCCCAGTGTTCCCAGCCTGGCTCCATGCAGGAGCTGCTCCAGCCCCTGAGCATCCTCGTGGCCTCTCCTCCACCCTTGCCCCAACGTCTCCATGGCCTTCTTATGCTGAGGACCCCAGCTCTGCACCCAGCGCTGCAGGGGGGGTCTCCCGTTCCCGCAGCAGAGGGGCAGGATCCCCTCCCGGAGCTGCTGCTCACGCTCTGGGGGTGCAGCCCAGCACACGGAGCCGGGGGGGTTCTGGTCTCAAGCGCTCCCTGAAGCCGGGTCGTGGGGAGCTGCTCCTCAGGCAGCAGCCCAAGTCCTTCCCGTCAGGGCTGCTCCGATCCCTGAGCACCGCCGCGGGGCCTCTCCCCGCAGGCTTCTCCCGGCTGGTTGGTGGCGATGGCCCCTGCGCGGGGCGGCTGGAGGTGCGGCAGGGCCGAGCGTGGGCCGGGCTCTGTGAGGATGCTGTGGAGCTGAAGGCTGCCCAGGTCGTGTGCCGGGAGCTGGGCTGCGGCTCGGTGCTGGCTGTGCCCGGGGCCGGCCTGTTCCCGGCGGCATCGGAGCCGCAATGGGACGCAGGATTCGAGTGCAGCGGCAGCGAGCTCCTCCTGAGCGCCTGCAGGCAGCGGGCACGGAGCGCCCAGGCCTGCAGCGGCCACGCCAGCATCGTCTGCTCGTGTAAGCAGCGGGGCCAGCGGGGGGTGCTGGGGGTCCCCCTGCGCCATTGTCACCCCCCAACCCCCTTTGTGCCCCAGCCTACAGCGGCTTCCGGCTGGCGAACCACAGCTCGCGCTGCGCCGGGCGGGTGGAGGTGATGGCAGGGGGGACGTGGGGGTCCCTCTGCGCCAGCGCCTGGGACCTGCCCGATGCCCATGTCCTCTGCCACCACCTGGGCTGCGGCCCTGCCAGCGCCGTGCTCCCGGGAGGCTCCTTCGGCAGCGGGAACGGGACCCTGCGCGTGGATGCCTTTGGCTGCAGCGGCAGCGAGCAGCACCCAGGCCAGTGCCCCGTGGCGGTGCTGGGGGAGCCAAGCTGCCCCCCCGGGCACGCTGCTGCGGTCGAGTGCTCAGGTGCGTGCGGGACCCGGGGGGGAAGAGCCTCGTGGGGCTGTGGGGACCCCCCAAGCACTGGGAACGGAGGATGCGGGGTCCTTTGGGGTGAAGGGGGGGCTGAGCTGGGGCCCAGCATCGTCCCGGGACCTTGTGCTGCCACCCCATGGCACCGCCGGTGCTTTAGCACAGAATCCCAGCCTGGTTTGGGTTGAAGGGAGCTTAAAGCCCATCCGGTTCCAAGCAATGCCACAGGCAGGGACCCCTTCCACTGGAGCAGCTTGCTCCCAGCCCCCGTGTCCAAGCTGGCCTCGAGCACTGCCAGGGATGGGGCAGCCCCAGCTTCTCGGGTGGATCCTGCAGGCGCTGCCGAGCCCCTGCGGCTGCTGGAGGGGCAGAGCCGGTGCGAGGGGCGGCTGGAGGTCCCCACGAGCCCGGGCAGCTGGGCCGCTGTGTCCGCGGGGCTCCGGGCCCCCCAGGCGGCCACCGTGGCGTGCCGGGAGCTGGGCTGCGGCGAGCTGGAGCGGGTGTACCCCGTGGCGGGCCCCGGCGGCGTGGGGCTGCAGGAGGTGCAGTGCGCGGGCAGCGAGGACGCCCTGGCGCAGTGCAACGTCTCGGGCAGGGCCAGTGCTGGGAGCGGCGCTGGCGAGGCTCTGGCTCTTGTGTGCTCCGGTGAGTGAGGGAGTGAGGGAGTGAGTGCCCCGCTATGGGCCGGGCGGTGGGGGCCCCGCAGGCAGCAGCCCCGGTGCATCCCGTCCGTGCCCCGCAGGCAGCCGGCGGCTGAGGCTGGCGGGGGGCCCTGGGCGCTGTGCCGGGCGTGTGGAGCTCTACGTTGAGGGCGCTTGGAGCCCCGTGTGCCAGGACGCGTGGGACATCCCGGACGCCGCCGTCGTGTGCCGGCAGAGCAGGGGGGGGTCATTGGTGACCCCGCTGCTCCTGCTGAGCGCTGCTGCTGTTATTCCAGAGCCTGGCAGAGCCCTGGATGCTGTCTATGAGGAGCTGGACTACACCGGGATGCCGGAGTACCAGAAGGTGCCCAGTCGCCCAGGTTGGTGCATGTGTGCCCGTACTGGGGTAGCTCTGCCCCACGGCCCCACCACAGCCCTGGCTCCTGGCGGTGTGGCTGCGGCTCATCCCGTGGCGTGTGGGTGTCCCCTGTCCCACTGTGCCCTCTCCCCACCAGGCTCCCCAACAGAGGGCTCAGAGACGAAGCTGCCCTATTACACTGCAGAGGATGTGGAGGAGAGTGACCCCGGCGCAGCCCCAGGTAGGGACATGGGGACAGGATCCCGGTGAGAACCCCCCTTAGGACTGGGGAGTGAAGGGGGCACGGGGTCCCCTGGCCTGGATGAGCCCAGCTCAGCTGTGGCTCTGGATGAGCAGCCCCAGCACCTCCCGTACACCCCTGGTTCTGTGGATGGAGGGGGGGTGACACAGCCAGAGCCCTGCCACGGCCTCCGGGTCACCCCGATCCCCTCCCCACCTCTGCCCCAGGCCCCCCTGCCCTGCCTGAGGACGGACCCCCTGATGGCTACGATGATGCCGAGGCTGTGCCAGAGGAGTCCCTTGGCACTGGGGACACCCCCGAGGGGGTGGCACATGCAGGTGAGTGTCCCTGTGCCCTGCAGAGCCACCTCGGGGGGGGCTTGGTTGTGGTGGCTGGGGGGGAGCAGCAGCAAATCCATGGGGCTGCAGCAAGACCCAGATGGGGTTTAGCGGCCCCCACTAAGGCACCAGCCTCTGCTGCCCCCAAGGTGGGAGCCGTCACCCCCCAGGGAGCACAGGGGACCCCCCGGAGCAGCCCCCAGGGGACACAGGCTACGATGATGCTGACGTTGGCACCTTGGGGACATTGCTGTGAGGATGCTGCGGCCGCAGCACACGAGGCCACGGGGACACAAGTGCGGGTGCTGGGGCTCTGTCCCCAAGGACGGGTGGCCCTGGCCATGGAGGTCACCTCTCCGTGCCCAGGACCACAGCACAGCAGCTCCGGTGTCCCTCTTGCAGCAGCGCTGCAGGGATCTGGGTTTAGTTTCACCGTGAATTCCCATGGTTTTCCCTATTAAAACTCCCAAGCTGGCTGGAGACTCACTTCCAGGCTGGCACCTTGCTCCCGGGGACATCAACCATCCCTTGGGGATGTGGGGCAGGAGCTGGACCTACAGATGGGTCCCTGGGTGTGACTGGGGCAGGGAGAAGGGCGGAGGAAGAAAAGGGAATAAGGGCCCCAGCGCCTTTATTTGGCATCCAGCAACACCAACACGCGTGTTCCCAGCAATAGATGGGGTCTATAGAGATCTCTATGGATCTGCTCCCCACAGCTGGGAAACGGGAGAGGGAAGGACGTGGAGCGGTTCTGCCCCGATCCCAGCGGATGCAGGATGCAGGCTGCAGGCAGCAGCTCCTCCCCTGCGCCCCCATGCTTGGGGCAGGCTCAGAGCCAGAGCGGGTTCCCCCCAGGTCCCCGAGCCCTGCGCTGGGAACGGCTGCGGTTGCTGCAAGGGCTCTCCTAGAGGAGCGCTCCTGTGCGGAGCGAGGGGGGCCCCCTCCTGCCCGGCAGGGCCCCGCGCTGGAAGCGGAGCCGGGCCATGGCCCCCGTCTGCGGCGCCTCCTGCTCCAGGAGGTCCCCGACCTTGAGGCCGGGCTTCAGCGCCCGCAGGGCAGCCAGGGCCTGCAGCGCGTCCTGGGGCAGCCCGGCCGTGCTCAGCCTGGAACAGAGGGAGGAGAGAGCTGTGGGATCACCCCCGGCTTGAGCTGGGGGGGCTCAGGGAGACCTGAGAGCAGCTCCAGTGCCCAAAGGGGCTGCAGGGAACGTGGAGAGGGGCTTGGGACAAGGGCCTGGAGGGCCAGGCCAAGGGGAATGGCTTGAACCTGCCCGAGGGGAGACTGAGCTGAGCTCTTAGGCAGAAGCTCTTCCCTGTGAGGGTGCTGAGGCGCTGGCACAGGGTGCCCAGAGAAGCTGTGGCTGCCCCATCCCTGGCAGTGCTCAAGGACACAGGGGCTTGGAGCAAGCTGCTCCAGTGGAAGGGGTTGGGGTTGGAGCTGGAGGAGCTTTCAGGTCCCTTCAACCCAAACCCTTCCTTGCGTGGTTCCATGCCCCTCCTGTCCCTCCCTGAGCCCTCGGCACTCGCACAGGGGTGCAAGGGCACAGCCAGCCCCTTACCCCAGGGCCCGCAGCGGGCAGGAGGGGCTCCGGAGCTGGCGGCAGAGCTGCAGGACCCCGTCTGCTCCCAGCTCGTTGTCGCTCAGGTCCAGGCAGGTGAGGGGAGGCGTCCCCGCAGGCAGCGCTCGGCAGCAGGCGCCCGTCAGGCGGCAGCTCCCCAGCCTGCGGGATGCGGGAACAGGGATGTGCGGCGGGACCCGCGGAGCCGCTGCGCCTGGGACCGGGCCGCCTCTTACCGCAGCGTCCGCAGGCGGCAGGAACGGGGCCGCAGCCCCTCGCACAGCAGCTCCGCACCCGCGTCCCGCAGCCCCTCGCTGAAGGACAAATCCAGCTCCTCCAGGCAGGGGCTGGTGCTCAGCACAGCGGCCAGGTCCTTGCAGCAGGCGCTGCTGAGGCGGGAATAGCGCAGACTGCAGGGAAAGAGCCTCAGTGCCACCCCACCGTGGTCCTAACCCGGAGCCAGTGCCCTGAGAGAGCGGGACACAGGGATGAGGCCAGCCCAGGGGACTCCTTTGGGTACCATTGCAGTGCTCCCATCCGCCCCAGGGCTTTGGCTGCCTGGGAAATGCCCAGGGATGCTGTGGGGTGCCAGGAGGGTGCTCAG